GGCTGTTTTGGCCTTAAAGATCTGGCATTTGAGTGATAGGAACCCAGTTTTAAAAACTAGTTTAAAACAAGTCCAGGGAAAACCTGGGGAACCACAGGAAGACCAGCACCTGCACCACATAAATCAGTAGAACTACAAAAGAAGCAGTGTATGTCAGTATGTGTACAAACATGACATATTTGTGTGATGAAATAAAGTAAGGTAGGACCAATGCACATATTTTATGTAATTTTTCACAAAACACTAGAGTTCTCCAATAAGTAAAAAAAATAATGTGTACTATGGTTTTCATTAACAATGTTTATTTGAATTTCCTAAAGATATTTGATGAATCTATCATTCATGAGTCTTAAAAAACCTAGACTCCCAGCGGATAAAAATAAATGACCTTGCAAGGATAAATAATTGGAAGCAGATGGTAGGACACTACTGTCAATTTTTCAAGTGGAGAGAGGTCAGTGGTGGAATCCTGCAGGGATCTGTGCTGGAACTTGGGAGCTACTCGCTTATTTATAAATGAGCTGGAAAACAGGATAAACAGTGAGGTGACAAAGTTAGCTGCTGGTACTCATTCAGGGTAGCTACAATAAGGGTTGACTCTGGAGAAAGAGTTTACAATACTAAGTGACTAGGCAATAAAACGTCACTTAAAGTCAGTGTAAATAAATATGAAGTCATTTCTTTAAGGGGGAAAAAAACTAACTATACAAAATCATGTGTCCTAAGGTGGTTATTACCACTTCAGGACTGAGATCTTGGGGTTATAATAGGCAGTTGTGTAAAAACATCAGTCCACTGTTCACTAACAGGGAAAAATTGAGTATTACTAATTACTAGGAAAGGAACAAAGAATGAAAGAGAGAGTATTATTAAGTCACTGTATGAACAACTGGTTTGTTGGTCTTGAATACTCTGTGTAGTTCTGGTCACACAGACTCTGAAAAGATACAGTAGACTGGAAATGGCTACAGGCAGGGAAGCAGGGATAATCACAACCTAACAACTAAGGACTGACTAAGAAGCCAAAAGTCTCAAAACCAGGTAACTGAGGGGATACAGCAAAGGTGTAATCAGAGCCAGGACAGGGAATGTGTCTCCAAGCTCCCTGTTCACAGCATCTTCCAATGCATGAGCTGAGAGGATCAAATGAAATGGGCAGTCACAAGATTTAAAACACAAAAAACATTGAATCTTCACATGGCATATGTGTGGAATAAGCTGTGGAACTCCCTGCTCTGGGGCACAGTAAATGCTAAAAGTTTACACAAGTTCAAAATGTGACCAAAGTCTCAAAAAACAAAATCCAGCAAGAGCTTTTAAATGCCAAGATCCATCTGAGGAAGTCCCTGAGTACGAGTGCTGGAGAACCAAAAGTATGGAGGGCAAAATGAGCTCTGGCTGCTCTGATGGTTTTGTGGGCCCATGTTACAGACTGCTGTCAGAGCCTTTATGTTTTATTCAGTGGTCCTCTTCCTGTGGGCATGGGCTCAGGCATCTCATGAAAAACCTATATACTGGTTTCATCCTACTTGTCCATAGGACACTTGTATGCCTTTCTTTTGCTTGCTTTACTTTTTTCTTTCTTATAACTTGAAACATCCTAATAAAGGAAAAAAGTAATGACAAATATCTAATAGTGAAAAAATCACAATGGCAGAACAGAAGTATTTAATTTACTTAACCTATAAAGGAATAAATCTCAAGAATTACCTTTATTTGTGATGTTTTCTGCAAACTTTAGGTGCAGAATAATGAAGAACAGTAATACCTAATTCCTGATGATTTCAAGAGTTTGTGATCGTGCAGCTGCTCAAATTAGGTGAGTGTGTATGCAACTGCTTGTACCTATGATTCTGCAATTGCAGAACAGGAGGTTGGGGGATGGAGAACAAGGCTGCCAACACTAGCTCTCAGTGTCCAGTGTACCCTGACAGCATTATCCACATGCAACAAAAAAGGCAGTTTAAGCCATGGCTAAATCATAAGACCATCTAACCTATTCTGTACTCAGGTACACACAGGAAATACCATTTTTCTTAGGATTCTTCTTCTTTTTCATGTCATAGACATGTCTAGTCATAGACATGATTAGACAGCAACAAGGACTGAAAGTGTATGTGCCCAAGATACTGTTTATCTTTTTTTTATTTAAAAAAAACACCTTTTCAAAACAAGAGCTATATCATGCTGACAATTTATAATGACTCATGCTGGACAGACTGTGATCCAAATCTTGGAGACTAAATAAATCAGTTCCTAAGCTTTTATTTTCAATCCTAAACCAAACATGATCCCGTGTCAGAAACCTGATTCTAACAAAATATAAATTACATCAATTTTAAGTATTGTATGACCTAACCAAATGCTAACACTATGAAGGTACATAATAGCAAGCAAAATCAAAGCTATGGTGACATGCTTCTTCATTTCACTGCTTGAGATTCAATTTTGTTCCTGTACTATGCAGGACTATATGCATATGTAGATGACATTACTATATTGTTTTTTGTGAAATAAACATTTTAGGATCACTATTATCTACTACTCATACTCTACAAACAGTAAACTAGTAACAGAAATAGGTGATATAGCTCAGAGAAAACGTATCATTATAACACTCCTGTCCTGCACACTTTAAGTTTTCCTTCTGTCCCACCACCTTTGTTTTCTTCAAAGGATGCAACCCAAAGCAATATGGACTTTCTGGTAGATTTTTTGCTCTTGAGGAAACTTTTTTAAGTAATACAGAAATGAACAGTGAGGTAAATACTGAATTAAAGTAAAACATTCGGCAAACAACAAAGTCAGGTTCTTCCAACATCCAACATTGCTCTAGTTCTTACAGGGCATTGATGTACAAATTGGGAAGGACAGCAGACAACCACTTGGCACTTGGCTATGCATGTATTCCCTTATTAATTTTGGAGGGAAGCAGTCTGAGAAGTGATTCTTCTGCTGACATAAAGCTCCTTTTGTTGACTTTTAATGCCAACAGTGCATCTGCCAGCTTTGGAGATGACAAAAATTCAGTGTTGCCTTGCCTGAAAATGTATTCCCAGTCACACCTGCATATGTGGTACAGACTGGGCTCCAGTAGATCAATCACATTTGGTGGTTTCTTAACATTATTATTCACCTGTACAGAAACGCAGTAAAGGAATGAGATTAATTTTATCTACCTTGCACTAGCACCTCTGGGCATGAAGAAGTGCAAACATATGAATAGATGTTGACGTTGGAAAGTGCAAGGGATTTGGAAATTGTGCTGTCCTACTGCATACTGGACATGAAAAAAACATGCTGAAATGCATCAACACAGTGAATATTCATGGCACCTTTTAGCAGCAGAGCCATAAGGAGAGGAGACAGCTGAAAGCAGAAGTCCTTCATGGAGCAGAGGAGATACCAGTAGTGCAAAGATGAAAGAGTTTGCTCAGCCCAGAGCCGAGTGACATGACTGTGTACAATTCGCCAGACCATATCAGAGTTCATGTTACTGAATGCACAGAGGAGCCACCTGCATCAAAGGGGGTTCCCAGCATGGAGATAACGAACCCAAAACTAAACTCACTAGAACTGGGAAAAACCTACCAACTTCAAGTGCCTGCAAATCGCTCCCCAAGTGATACAGAAAGAAATTACAAGGAAACTTCAAGTGATGGAAACAGTATAAAAATGTATCATAGCATACAGGAAAAATATCATCAGAGAGAGAAATGGTTAAAGCTGTTTCATACAAACGAGACAATTCCACCAAGTCTCATGGACTAAACAGCAAATTGAATAATGCTGAAGCTGTTCAGAAGAAAACTCGAAAGAATTTTTCCTCAGAAACTGAAATGAATGTAGGTCAATTAAGGGGACTGAAAAAGTGATTGTGAGCCCATTTTGGTCACATTTTACTCTGTTTCCCTAACAGCTTACTCCTATTTATTCCAAAACTTCTCAGTTTCAGGGTCTTACCAGGAGGACATGTAACAGGTATGCTTTGATTTTAGCCTCTTTTTTCCCCAAATGATTGAAGAATTAATGTTTTCTGTCTGGCTAAAACTGCTTATATTACTATATTAATTCTACAGACCATCTATTCTAGTTACCCTCTCACCTGCACACAGATAACCAGTTCTCCACTAACTCAGAGGGAAAGTTGTGCTGGAAATGCAGAAAGGGATGTCCTGGAGTTTTCCCTCTTACCATATGCTTTCCCCAGGGAGACACTGGATGTGATGGGGAAAGTCAAATGAAGTTAGGAGATCTTCTGAGACAAAATCAGCAACTGAAATTAATTATTTTTCTTTACACTCCTAACAGATAGTGGAAAATAAACCTTGTGGACAGACCCCAAGCAAAACTCATGCATGCCAAATCCAACTACCTGAGCCGTCCTTCCAGTTCCAGCAAAAGACCTTACCAACCCCTCCCACGGAGCCCAAGCGGGCTCTGCCTTGGCCAGGTGGAACTGTGGGACGGGGACTAAGCTTCAACAGGCGGGCGGCTGCCTTCCCCCGCCGTCGCCTGCTCGGATTGTCCCCACTGCCATTTTCTCCTGACCTTTACAGCAGACCACGCGCTGGAGGACACCCGCCCGCTGCCGCCCGCAGTCCCTGGAGCTGCCGGAGCTGCCCTCGGTTCGCTCACAGACCGAAGCCGGGCAGTTCTCCCGGGCAGCCCTCGGAGAGGTGCGAGGAGCTGCGGGCTGAGCCTGGCTGCCCACGCCCAGTCGGGCAGCGGGGCGGCCCGGGGCAGGCACGGGCACCGCTCTGCGACTCTGCCGATGTGTGGCGGCACCACCGAGCATCCTCTCCCGGCCTGCCCCGGCGGGGCACCCCCGGCCCTCGCCACCCACCCCCTCCGCTCCCCGACCCTCTTCCGACCCGGGCGGCCGCCGGAGCCGCAAGTTTGTCCAGAGCCGCCCGTGCCCCCCGGGCCGGGCCGGGCCGGGCTGTGCCGGACAGGGCGGAGCGGAGCCCCCCAGCACCGGGGCCGCTGCCTCCACTCACCCGAGGTCAGCTGCATCCAGGCACAGATCTTGTAGACGGTGGCTGTGTTGCAGAAGAAGAAGAGGATGAAGCAGACGATACAGGCGATGATGAGCATCATCGAGAGCCCGATGAAGAAGGACGCAGCTTTGAAGGCTCCCGAGGGCAGGCTGGAGAAGTCCGTGAAGCTGCCCCGGCAGGTGAGTTCCCGGCTGAAGCCGTTGCCGATGCAGTAGTGGAAGAGCCCGAAGTAGCCCGCCTGCGGGGTGTCCACGCCGTCCCCGATCCAGTACGGCTGGATGAAGCACACCACGTTGACGATGGCAAAGCAGATGGTGAAGATGGCCCAGAGCACGCCGATGGCCCGCGAGTTCCGCACGTAGTTGGTGTGGTAGATCTTGGCCGCCTCCTGAGCTGGGAGCATCCCCGCTGCTACCGCTCCTGACGAGCCTGCTCCTGTAGCCGCCGTCCCTGCAGCCGCTCCGGGCATCCTCGCCGAGAAGGTGCCCCCCTCCCCTTCCTCCTCCTCCTCCTCCTCCTCCTCCTCCTCCTCCTCTTCCTCCTCCTCCTCCTCCTCCTCCTCCTCGTCCTCCTCCTCCTCCTCCACCTTCTCCTCCTCGTCCTCCTCCTCCTCTTCCTCCTCCTCCTCATCCTCCTCCTCCTCCTCTTCCTCCTCCTCCTCCTTCTCCTCCTCCTCCTCCCCGCTCGCTCCGCTCGACGCGACGCGCTCCGCCGCCGCCGCTGCGTGCGAGAGCCGGCGAGCCCCTCTGCCGGGCTTCAGCGGCTCCGCGCCAGCACCGGCAGCCGCGGCAGCGGCGGCAGCACCGACACCGCCCGCCGCCGCCTATCGGGGCGCAGCGCAGCGCAGCCGGCCCCGCGCACCGCCCGCCCCGCAGCCCGCCCTCCGCCGCCGGGCGCCACCCGCGCAGCCACGGCGGGGACACGGCTCCGGGCAGGCCCCCCG